TCAGTGATGTCATGAGTACAGCCAATCATAGCAACGCATGGGTTGAGGACACCAGGTAAATCTTACTTTTTCTTTTTTTGCATTTTTTTTCTCAGAGCAGATCGTCGAGCAAACAGTGTGCAGCACTAGTTTCTGTCTGACGTCCATATTCGCGTGTTATGTTCTTCTCTGCAGTTTCGCGTCATTTCTGGTTCGTTTTATTGCGTGGTTTTTCGTTACAAAACATGGTTTCTAGACCAGATAGAATCGTGTTGTTGTCAACTCGTTATTTGTTTGATTATTTTCAGGATTTAGACCGTATTATAGTACTGAAACAGCTCTCATTGAGTCACAAATGATATGCTCTTATCATCCGATCGTGGTTGTATCTCTATGTAGTGCGTTGTTAACTCGTGTAGTGAGTTACCTCCTGTTGTGGATCAATCACGTTGTGTTGTGTGGTGTGAACAGCTAAACAACTTGAACACTCATGATTTCACTGAGAGCAAGTCATGTAGTGTGAACTGCACAGTTCAGCCCGACATTTTAAAATCATGTAGTGTGAACTAGGCTTAAGGAAGTAGACTTGTTACACACACACACACACACACATATATATATATATATATATATATATGCCAATACTAACCTATAAAATGTGAAATCTTTTCCCAATTAAAATTAGACAAGCTCCAAGCATTTGCACTTTTAAAAAGCAAGTGAAAACGTACCTTAAGCGTTTGAGCAGGAAGTTTCTTAAGTGGTTACATAAAACGATTTTATTCATTTAATATGGTCTTTAAAATGAATATAATTTTATTAATATAGTCACCAAATGCAGACATTAGGGACATTAGGGATTAGATTTTCACATGCCAGACACAAGCCTTCATATATGTGAAGCACGTTTATCATTATGAATGAGAGCGCCATCTGGAGGATGTTGGGTGCAGCTAACAGAGTAATGATAAACAATAAACACAAGTGGATGACATTAATAAAGATGAGCCTCTGCAGAGAGACATGGACTTCCTGGACACGGGTGGCAGGCTTCCAGCGAGAGGAAATCACATTACGGGTTAGAAAACAGTCCTCACATCCACACACACCACACACACACACAGATCCTGCCACTTTCTCCTTTTCAAGCCACTTGATTTTGTGCTCCGGGTTACATGTGATGGTAACTTAATTAGTGTTGATTGGTTGTGGAGATAATAAGGTTTGGACTGTCTGAGCGAGGGTTTGAATAGGTTACAGGGTCATGAAAGACGACATGTATGTTAAAGCTGTCTCTTTAAATCTTGTGTAATGTTAACACTCAGACTACCCCTCTCCCTCCTCCCCCATCAAAAGTGAACACGCACCATACTGCTGATTGGCTTATTCTCTCCTCCCCCATCATGAGTGGACACGCCCCCTACTGCTGATTGGCTTATTCTCTCCTCCCCCATCATGAGTGGACACGCCCCATACTGCTGATTGGCTTACTCTCCCTCCTCCCCATTATGAGTGGACACGCCCCCTACTGCTGATTGGCTTATTCTCTCCTCCCATCATGAGTGGACATGCCCCATACTGCTGATTGGCTCACTCTCCCTCCTTCCCCATCATAAGTGGAAACGCCCCCTACTGTTGATTGGCTCACTCTCCCTCCTCCCCATCATGAGTGGACACGCCCCCTACTGCTGATTGGGTCACTCTCCCTCCTCCCCATCATGAGTGGACACGCCCCCTACTGCTGATTGGCTCACTCTCCGTCCTCCCCATCATGAGTGGACACGCCCCCTACTGCTGATTGGCTCACTCTCCCTCCTCCCCCATCATGAGTGGAAACGCCCCCTACTGCTGATTGGCTCACTCTCCCTCCTCCCCATCATGAGTGGACACGCCCCCTACTGCTGATTGGTTCACTCTCCCTCCTCCCCATCATGAGTGGACACGCCCCCTACTGCTGATTGGCTCACTCTCCCTCCTCCACCATCATGAGTGGACACGCCCCCTACTGCTGATTGGGTCACTCTCCCTCCTCCCCATCATGAGTGGACACGCCCCTACTGCTGATTGGGTCACTCTCCCTCCTCCCCATCATGAGTGGACACGCCCCCTACTGCTGATTGGCTCACTCTCCGTTCTCCCCATCATGAGTGGACACGCCCCCTACTGCTGATTGGCTCACTCTCCCTCCTCCCCCATCATGAGTGGAAACGCCCCCTACTGTTGATTGGCTCACTCTCCCTTCTCCCCATCATGAGTGGAAACGCCCCCTACTGCTGATTGGCTCACTCTCCCTCCTCCCCATCTTGAGTGGAAACGCCCCCTACTGCTGATTGGCTCACTCTCCCTCCTCCCCATCATGAGTGGACACGCCCCCTACTGCTGATTGGTTCACTCTCCCTCCTCCCCATCATGAGTGGACACGCCCCCTACTGCTGATTGGCTCACTCTCCCTCCTCACCATCATGAGTGGACACGCCCCCTACTGCTGATTGGCTCACTCACCCTCCTCCCCATCATGAGTGGACACGCCCCCTACTGCTGATTGGCTCACTCTCCCTCCTCCCCATCATGAGTGGACACGCCCCCTACTGCTGATTGGCTTACTCTCCCTCCTCCCCATCATGAGTGAACACACCCCATACTGCTGATTGGCTCACTCTCCCTCCTCCCCCATCATGAGTGGACACGCCCCTACTGCTGATTGGCTTACTCTCCCTCCTCCCCATCATGAGTGAACACACCCCATACTGCTGATTGGCTCACTCTCCCTCCTCCCCCATCATGAGTGGACACGCCCCTACTGCTGATTGGCTCACTCTCCCTCCTCCCCCATCATGAGTGAAAACGCCCCCTACTGCTGATTGGCTCACTCTCCCTCCTCCCCCATCATGAGTGGACACGCCCCCTACTGCTGATTGGCTCACTCTCCCTCCTCCCCCATCATGAGTGAAAACGCCCCCTACTGCTGATTGGCTCACTCTCCCTCCTCCCCCATCATGAGTGGAAACGCCCCCCACTGCTGATTGGCCAAAACTGTGTTGTGGTGCTCACTACAATCCACTTTCAACAGCGTTTTTTAGAAATCGCTAACTCAACTTTTAATTTTACAACTTTAGTTAGAATATGGGGATTTTAAAAACATGAGTAGAGTAAATATGACACAAGTTTCAGTCCAAGTTGAACTCTTCTATTATTACTCTCTGTGAAAGCAGCCGTACGAGAGACTACACCAGAATTCCCAGACGAGTGGGAGTTTCTTCACAGAGCATGCAGACATCTGGGAACTCTGAACCTTCGTTTCTTTTGACCGCATTGAAAAAGGCAAGATCTTTTCATTGACAGACTTCGTGAAATTAAATGTAAAGAAAAAAAATGCATTTAAAGAGTGTGAGAACGAGACTAGATCTACATAGCCACTTCCTCAATTAAACCTCACAGAAAAGGATGGCCTTCGTCATCCTCCGAACAGAAGCACTAATGTGAAATGTGATAAAACAGAAGGTCGGACCGAGAAGATACGCAATTACTCAGGTGGAAAGTGACAAACATCACGACTCTTTTCCCCTGAGCTTAGCCTGGGCGGAGGCGTCTGAGCCCATGTCAATGCGGGAAATAGACACACAGTGGATTTCCTTTTCCCTGAAGAATGGAATGTCTTCCGCTGGACGCTGCCGAGGCCGGAAACTCACGCCTGTCCTTCTCCTGGTGGATTGTGTGCTTACGTGCTGCGGTTTGAGGAAATCATAAGATACCTGTTCTGCTGACTCGGTGCTGGAGCTGGTGCCCAACGTGGAAGCATTCGGGATAATGCGTTTACAAAGCAAGTCAATAAACCACATCACTCCCGTTCAAATCACCAATGCTGTACACTGGCAGCAGCTTCCTGTTGTTGCTTCAGCCCTACTTACTTTTTTCAATCAGGCTGAAATTAAATGATTTTATTCAGCAAATGTGACGCTCATCATGATAATAATGGTAAATTGAACTGTTTTGAATGTTAAAAGAGTTTTGTAACAGGTTTGTGTGCAGGTTATGTACAGTAACACCCTCGCTCAGCAGTCAAGCCAGCGGAAATGCAGATGATTCTGACACTTCGGGAGAGCAATACAGAGCTTTACAGCGCTCACTTTACTGCTGGCCAAAAACGTATATATATACGTAAAAGTTTGGGGTCAGTAATATGTTTTAATGTTTTTGTTTTATACTATAGTCTCTTCTGCTCACCAAGGCTGCATTAATTTAAGAGAAAAAAATACAGTAAAACAGTAATTGTGAAATATTATTAGAATTTAAAATAATAGTCAAACAAAAAATATATACTTTAGAATGTACATTTATTCCTGTGATCAAAACTATGATCCTTCAGAAATCATTCTAATATGATGATTTGCTGCTCAAGTAACATTTCTGATTATTATCAATGTTGAAAACTTCATGATTTTTGTGATTTTTCATTTAAAATAGAATATTTTAGCAACGATGTAAAAGCCTACGATCACTTATCTATTTATTATGCTTACTGAATAAAAGTAATACTTTTTTAATGATTAATGATAAAAACTAAGCAATTGTTTCACACTAGTCTTATGTTGACGTCAGAAACACCAGCGATTTCACACCGTGTTTTTGAGACTGTCTGTTTCACTGCGGTTTTAAAGCATATTAAAAACATCATATAGACATATAAAGTACATCCATTAAAAGTGCCTATTGTAAATGTAGCTTTTGTTAAGAAACAAGTTAATCGACATTATGACAGATGCAGACATTTGAGCTCAACTTGTTTTAAACCTGGAACGTTTTTTAACATGATAACATGAGCGAGACCGACGGAAGGGGGAGAGAACAGCAGAAGAAGACAGACACACTTTAAATAGATCACTTGTTGCCGACTGCAGGATAAGAGATGTGATGTGATTGGAGGAGAACAGACATGGACTGAGGAGATTGTTAAGGTGATGAACAGGAGATGAAGGAAGTCTTGTGTTTCTGACTGAAGATGTGTGTGTTCGTACACCTACCGTCTTCAATCTCTTGACGGCTTCTTCACAGATGTGCATGCCACGAGACTCATCGACCTCCACGTGCCCCAGATACTAGAGACAGAGAAAAAGTAAGTAAATACATTTTATTTATTTAGCACATTTACACATAGCAGGGCTACCCAAAGTGCTGAACAGAGTAAACAAATAAGAACAGACAATCAAGAGAAAATTAAAATGCCAGAGAATAAAAATAAGTTTTCAATTTATATTTGAAAATAGCATTTAAAGGTCCAGGGGCAACTGGCAATTAGTAGTTTAGCTTTGAAAACCGAAAAGTGAAGCCACTCGTCTCGACTAGTCCCAGTATAGCTCATAAACCCCCCGGTGGCTGGTCCCAGTATAGGTCAAACCCCCCCGTGGCTAGTCCTAGTATAGTTCATAAACCCCCAGGTGGCTGGTAGCTTATAGACCCCCCGGTGGCTGGTCCCAGTATAGCTCATAAACCCCCGGTGGCTGGTCCCAGTAAAGATCATAAACACCCCGGTGGCTGGTCCCAGTATAGCTCATAAACCCCCCGGTGGCTGGTCCCAGTATATGTCATAAACCCCCCGGTGGCTAGTCCCAGTATAATTCATAAACCCCCTGGTGGCTAGTCCCAGTATAATTAATAAACGCCACGGTGGATGGTAGCTCATAAACCCCCCGGTGGCTGGTCCCAGTATAGGTCATGAACCCCCCGGTGGCTGGTCCCAGTATAGGTCATAAACCCCCGTGGCTGGCTCCAGTATAGGTCATAAACCCCCCGGTGGCTGGTCCCAGTATAGGTCATAAACCCCCCGGTCGCTGGCTCCATTATAGGTCATATACCCCCGGTGGCTGGTCCCAGAATAGGTCATAACCCTCCTGGTGGCTGGTCCCAGTATAGCTCATAAACCACCCGGTGGCTGGTCCCAGTATAGCTCATAAACCCCCCAGTGGCTGGTCCCAGTATAGGTCATAAACCCCCCGGTGGCTAGTCCCAGTATAATTCATAAACCCCCAGGTGGCTAGTCCCAGTATAATTAATAAACCCCACGGTGGATGGTCCCAGTATAGGTCATAAACCCCCCGGTGGCTGGCTCCAGTATAGGTCATAAACCCCAGGTGGCTGGTCCCAGAATAGGTCATAACCCCCCTGGTGGCTGGTCCCAGTATAGCTCATAAGCAATTAAATTACACATAAAATTTAGTTTGTCATTTTAGGTTGTTTTTAATCACACTGATTTAAGTTTAAGTGTTCGGTTTTTGTTTTTTTTAATAAGTTTGGTCTTAGTTATTTGACGGTATAAAAACGGGGATGTGACGTCTTGATTGACAGCTGTGATTGACAGCTTCTCTTAGGCACCAACAAACTTTTTGGGCGATTTTCAGGAGAAGATTGGAGCTTCAACTTTAATTTCTACATGTCCATAACTGTTTATTTCACACAGTAAACTTTGTAGTAACCGTTTCTACGAGAGTGAGGTCGGGACCTTGATATCGCGAGTCGCGACTTGCTCGACAAGTTCACTACTGCGCAGAAGCAGGTCCCAAATCAGCACAAGATGTCAGCGTCATATTAGGACTTTTCTTTTCACCAATGGAAGGGAGTGAAGGGGCGTCGTCCATCTTTATTTACACTCTATGGTTCCACCAGGAAGAGGTCACATAGACCTATCTAATCCTGTTTGAACTACGGGAGCGGTGGCCTCTGATACTCAATGAGCGGAAACAGTAGCCCATGACAGACCCCAATGGTAGAAGAGATCCCTGCGTCCCGGGGCGGCTGAGGTCAGGCTGAGGCGGACAGCTATTGTGCTGAGAGGAAGTCCTTCCCCTTCCCTCGTCAAACACACAGGAGCTGCTTGGCTATTGTCAGTGTGTGACATCAGAAACAGCACATGAGGTGTGCACCTGTTTATTAATCCTGTGGAAGCTTGACATGCGGAGAAATACTCAATAATGGAAGAATTTATTGAACATTTAGACAAAATTGCATTTTTTCTTTAGCTTATTTTGAGGATCATATCGGATACATCAGGCTTTTAGCCAGCAGCCATATCACCCTGTAGCCCAAGACTGTTGCCCACTGAAGCTAAGCAGGGCTGAGCCTGGTTAGTACCTGGATGGGAGACCTTCTGAGAAAACCAGGTTGCTGCTGGAAGAGGTGTTAGTGTGGCCAGTAGGGGGTGCTGTGTGGGTCCTAACGCTAGGGACACTATACTGTCAAAGAGCACCGTACTTTGGATGAGACGTTAAACCGAGGCCCTGGCTCACTGTGGTCACAAAAATTCCCAGGATGTCTTTCAAAAGAGTAGGGGTGTAACCCTGGCATCCTGGCCAAATTTGCCCAGTGACCAAAAAAATTTAAAAATTTAAAAATTAACGCCATTAAAATGGGTTTGCGTTAACGCAGTTAATAGATACACACAGAACAAAATTATAAACGCAACACTTGTTGTTTTTGCCCCCATTTTTCATGAGCTGAACTCAAATATTGTTCACAAATCTGTCTAAGGTTATGTTTACACGGAAACGATTCTGAAGAGAAAACGCAAAAGTGGCATTGCGTCAACACTTTTTATTCTGCGTTTAGACGAGCGTTTTGGGTGTGAAATCCGCGTGCAGATGGTGACGCAAAAGTCTGTGAAATTCAATGTAGTATGCACTCGAGGAGGCTAAGAGTGCATACTACAACAACACCAAGCCCGTGCGCCTGCGTACAACCTTCACTGTCAAGCAGACTTTTCCGTTTTTACCCTTTACACGGGAGCGCGGCGGTGGAGCGTTTTTAAGATTTCCACTCTGGAGGGTGGTTTCACTTTTTTGCCTTTTTAAGCCCCAAAAACGCCGTCGCCGTGTAAACGAAAGGCACATCCGATAAAATATTTTTACGTTTTCACCCGCGAGCGTTCTCGTGTAAACAGGGCCTAAAACTGTTAGTAAGCACTTCTCCTTTGCTGAGATAATCCATCCACCTCACAGGTGTGGCATATCAAGATGCTGATCAGACAGCATCGTTATTTCACGGGTGTGCCTAAAGGCCCGTACACACCGGGACGAATATCAGCGCGCGTTATTCGTCAGCGTTTTTCAACACGTTTTTTGTGTTCACACCCAAGCGTTTTTCGCTGACGATGAGCCGAGTGAACATGCAAATTCATTCCCTGACATTAGATGGCGCTTAATGTAAAACAGAAATAATAATAGAATACTATACTAGGGTGATCATATTCATGTCTCAATGTTTTATTATGACAGATAGAAAAAAACCGAATGACATAATGATAGAAATAATGTCTTCTGTATTAGAAAAATATATAGGCCTAAATAATAAATAACTAAAAGAAATGCCTCCAAATGTAACAAAAAATAGCTCTCACAAACTTGCAAAAACGAACTAACAAAATCTATTTATATCTTTAGTTTTCATTCTCTTTATCTTGTTTTTCTTCCTCGTCCACCTTGTTTGTCCATCTATATTTTGCTGTAGAGAAATGATCTTTCCCAGCAGTTTTTGTTTGAAAACCAGGACATTTTCATCACTTAAAAACAGTCAGGACAGGACGTGGAAAGAGGACATGTGTAACGCAAAGTTGAGATGTTGCCCAGAGATAAAAACATAGCACTAGTTGTCGGACGAACAGATGCACGAGAGACGAGAGTTGTCGTATTTCCCCGCGTTTAATAAAACCACTCAAACGTTACACTCGTCCTCATACACGGGGATCGAGCGAGAGAAAAAAAAAAACATCTGGTCACAATAGAAAAATAAAATAAAAGAAAGAATACAAAGAGTCGGCAGAGCGGTTCTCCTCTCCTCACTTGTCTAAATCTAACTGACGCTACGCACACTATGCGCAGTTCTCATCTCAACTCAGATTTCTATAAAGCACAAAGTGACCGTTTTACACATGTCCCGGGAAAACAGGACTGTTGGTCACCCTATACTATACTATTATTACAGAAATACTAATATAAATATTATCATATAGCTCTTTATGCTCCGAGACCAGCAGCTCAACATTCATCTTGCCCATAGGTATCTTCTCTTCTTCGCCGTATGTGTGCTCGGCAAGACTGTTTTGTGTTTGAGCGCCCCCAAGTTGTGTTTTACTGTCACTTCAGAAGTACCAGACACGTGAGCAAACCCGCCGATCTCGTTGGTCGGATAGGTTTTGACGCGGCGCGTCAAACCAAAAAAACGAACCCGAGGCGTTTTTTTAAAAATGACGCTTTTGCGCGTGGCGTTTTTCGCGTCGGTGTGAACACTCACATTGGCGCCCATTGTTTAGTCACGAGGCGTTAAACGTCGACGAATAACGCGCGCGAAATTGTGAACAGGCCTTTAGGCTGCCCAAAAGAAATAGGGCAATAGGCCGTTTGTGTACATAGAAAAATTCTTAGATCTTTGAGTTCAGCTCATGAAAAAGTTTTTGCACACATCCCTACTTATAACATGACTGTGATCCAGTTATTGAGCATGAATGAGAAAACCAGCCGTCTATAACCACGAGAACAGCCGTTTCCCATTGCCTGTAAAACAACAGTAGTAATTTATCAGGGAAATGGGTTATTCACAGAGCTCGTCTTCTCGGGCGGTCAGGAGTGTGTCCTCAACACAACTGATACTTTTTGTGAACTAGACACTTTCAAACGTGTATGTTAATATTTGCCAGGTATCAGACATATCACTCCTGTCCACGCAGAGTCCAAGTGCTACAAAAACATTTCAAAGATATCCACGTCAAACAGAAATGAAAAGAAAATATTTTTCACAAAACATTATAAAAAAAATATTATTTTAAATTGTACAGTATATTTGTAAACATCAACGGCACTAAAGTATTGAGAATGAGATATTTGGGAGAGGGGTGACGTGATTAATCGCAAAAAAAGTCACAAAATCACAATATCCTTAAAAATTTGCTTCATTTTCCAGTTGCAAATTATAATATTATAAATAATATTCAATAAATTAAGTTAGAATTAGAATTCCTTTAACTTCGAATTAATGGAATTCCTTTCAAATGGTTTACAACACACATCCTGGAGTTATTGTTCATTAGGTTTCCATTGACATTTTCAGTGGC